ACCCCAAAACCCTGTTCTAATGATTCAGGCCCCTACATTACTCGTAGGCAATGGCTTTCACAGACGGTGTCGATTTCTTACAGGCTGTGGGGTGCTGTAGGCAATACGCTTGGGCTTGGCTGTTAGATGTCGGCTCTAGTACCACATGGGTGGGGTGTGCTTGCTGAAAGTTTTTCGTCTTTCGCACCGCTGTTAGTGATAGCCTCGCTTTTCCAACATTGCTGACACTACGGCGACCACAACCACTTCGAAATCCACTTCCACGTTGACGACGACGACGACGGCTACTCCTACTCTCCTTTTCCCTATTACATTGCTGCGCGCAGCACAACTAGGTGCTAACTGTTGCTATCGATAGGTGTTACCTTAAAGGGATTTCCTGATTACCACAACAACGGAAATGGCAGCGCCACCGCTAACAACAACAGCAGCACGAAGAAACATGTTAATAGTTTTCAATTACGAGAACCCGAGCGAGAGCAATAACAATAACAATAACAGTAGCGAGAACAGCAGTAGCAACAATAAAATTAATTAGCCACAACAACAACAACAACAGCTTCAGCTTCACCTAGCGCCAGTGCCACTGCCACTGCCAATGCTACGGCTATTGCTGCTGCTGCTGCAGCGATTGCTGATACTGCTACGGCTAGAGCGACTGCTACTGCTACTGCTACTGCTACTGCTACTGCTACTGCTACTGCTACTGCTACTGCTACTGCTACTGCTACTGCTACTGCTACTGCTACTGCTACTGCTACTGTACTGCTACTGCTACTGCCGCCGCGGCTGCTGCTGCTACTGCTACTACTACTAGTACTGCTACTACGACCACAACGACCATGACGACGAGTAAGCAGTCGTAGCATCGGTGGTATTGGTAGCAGTATTAGCAGTAGTAGCAGTTATGCAGTAGCATAGCAGTAGCTGCAGCCATAGCCGCAAAAGCAGTTGCAGTCGTCGTCGTCTTCGCTGTCTCGTGGTCGTAGGAGTCGCAGTAGCCGTCGTAGTCGGTATTCGTAGTAAACATAGTAGTATCAGTAGTCGTAGTAGTAGTGCTAGCAGTAGTAGTAGTAGTAGTAGTAGTAGTAGTAGTAGTAGTAGTACAGTAGTAGAAGTAGTAGTAGTAGTAGTAGTAGTAGTAGACCCCGAAGCTTTATGAATCCTTGACTGTCCCATAATCCCTAAACCAGACGGCCCCAGAGATTCCAAGATCCATCGACCCGAGATTTGTCCATGTACTATAGAGGCCGGAATAACTACCAATACTGTGTTGGGGTTTCTGAATTGTAGTTATGGTCGGCTATTCCCCAAAACCCTATTCTAATTCCCAAGGCCCGTTTATGATTTAGTAAATGCAGTATCTACTTTGGCTCCTGCAAGGTGCTGAGGGGTAGAGGTATACACTGATTATTCGGAAAAACTACGGTTAAGATTTTGCAAACCCTATCAAACCCTTATCATATTGGTGCCCTTAGGGCACTGAAACGTTCCGATGTTTCTCAGCTACCCTGGAACTCAGTATAGCCCTGGCCTGCAGACACTGATTAAAGACAATCCGTCTAAGCTCCTGCCACACCGTATTTAGGGTTTAGGGCTTAAGGTTTATAAGGCCGTATAGAGCCTTCAGAATATGCCTTACAGTCCTTACGGTCCCCTTCACTCACTTTGCCGAAGGTGCTGGTCTCCCGCAAGAGGCAGCGCTGTCGGCGCTGCGCCGCGCGGCCACTGGAAAAGTCACGGCGCTGGAGGGAAAGGAGCCGTCTCACCTTGTAATTCGGGCTTTCGAAGCTAGTTTAGGTGCTCATTGCGTAGTTGGTTTTACGCGGGATTGAAAGGATTGTCTTACGGTGTCTTACTTGTAGGGGTTTGTAGGGCGTGAGGCCCAAATAGAGAAAAGCAGAAGTACAGCATTGTGCGGGGCTTTGGAGACTACCAGGAGCTTGCAATGCTGTCTGCGGCGCTTTTGTTGCAGGAGGACGAGGAGCTGTCCAAGAGGACAGGAAAGGAACATAACCCAAGAGTCGAAAGCCATAATGCTCTCAGCCAACAAGACCCCTCAACCTTAACTAGACCCTCCACCCACTAAACCTACAGCCCCCTTGGGGTGTTGAGTTTCGGTGCTCGGGCTTTCTTCACCCCTGTCTCCTAACTAGCAGTGCAGGATTTGTGGTTTCGGGTTGCTTTGCGCTCTTGCGGTTCCTGTAGCAGCTGCGGCGAAGCATCGTATCTCGTGAAGAAGGCGACATGCCTAACGAGAAAGGTCTATCCAGAAATCCTTATCGAAGTCCTGAAACTTAAACCAAAACCGTAAGGTGCCTACACCCTAATGAAGAAGCCTGGCTGAGCAGCTCTTGCCCACATTGGTTCACAGTCATAGTATGAGTATTAAGGCACTGGTGGTTGACTCATCGGGGGCTTACGGCATGTTCTAGGCCTTCAGGCATAGAGACCTGCACCTTACAACCCTACACCCGTAAAGTTCAAACACCCGGCTGGCCCGGACCTGGAGCGTTAACCCTGAGGCTGTGCGTGTTTGGGCTTCGGCAGTTGTTCGTGTTGGGTGGACGGGATCAGGATTGATTTTTCGTGCTAACATCCTAAAATGTTGGGTTATGTGAGAAAACGGGCTGGGGATTTGGTTTGGGAAATCCTAAACCCTAAACCTCCAAGCTCACCCCCTTGTAAGCAGCCTTAATCGCAGCTCTTGCATGTTTGGGGGTTGAAGATTAGGGGTTTAGCAAGGCCGTCGTCGTCGTGATTACGACTCTGAGTGTTCCTTTGTTCATTGTCACTGCGCTTGTCGTTGCTGTTTTCATGTCGTGGTAACACTCCTATATTACCGCATTGCTAGAGACAGTACACGGCGGCTGCCATGACCGCGACAACCAACATCACGTTCGAGCAAGTCTAGTTGAACCTGCTATGCTTGGCCATGCTGCCTCGCTCACGATAATGCAAGGGCATTCGTACTCAGAATCGGGATCTACCTACAGTCTCCATTGTAGTTCCTTTTTGGTTTAACCAATTCTATATTAAGGATTCTATAAGGTATCCCCAAAAAGGAACTACAATGGAGACTATAGGCAGAGGCTTTTAGTATACGTAGAGGTGTTTAGGCCCTGTAATATGTGCCACCCGAGCCTCGGGAGTCTTGGATTGGAGTGCACTTATCAAGTGCTCTCAGGGTTCATGGGGACGTGGCTTGGGCTTTACTGCTTGGCCTGGTCAGGAAACACGAGGAGCTCTAAGCCAACTTCGGGGCATCTACAAGCTCTATATGTTTTTGCATTCTCTTCCTGAGCTTCTTCGAGCTCGGCTCTTACAGTAAGCCCCAACATAAATCATTTCTAGTCACAAACAAGGGCTAATGAAAACTCGTGACCTTTCCATACTGGTCCAGGATTGCAGAACATGCCGAAGTGCTGCACGAAAGCGGCTCGCTGCCTCCAGACGCCATCGTGCAGATTCGACACTTGCCGCACTTGGCTTTCAGTCTTCCCCAAAAACCCGAAAACCCCTAAACCCCTAAGAGCCCAAACTTCTAACTTATAAACTCTACACTCCTAAGCCGTAACCCCTAAACTCCTAAAGCCCTAAACCCTAAACTCTAAACCCTAAACCCTAAACCCTAAACTCCTAAACCCCTAAAGCCCTAACCTCCTAAAGCCCTAAACCCTAAAGCCCTAAAGCCCTAAAGCCCTTAAACTCTAAAGCCCTAAAGCCCTAAACCCTTAAAGCCCTAAGCCCCTTGTGTAACCGGTTTTGGAGCTCAGACCCTCGGCTTCGGACTTTGAGTTTTGATCCAAGGAAAGGCGAGCGTTTTGGGGTTAAGGGGTTTAGGGTTTTAGGGGTTCAGGGTTTAGGGTTTAGTTTTGAGGAGTTTCGGGAAATCGCCTTTAGACAGTCTGCCGGCTGGGGTTAGGTTTTAGGGGTTGCTGAAGGATCGGGGCAATGTGCGCTGCAGGCCCTGCTCAAAAAAGGGTTTGGGGGTTTAGGGTGTAGCGTTCAGCAGCTCCGGATCGAGCGGTTTCTGAAGAATTTGAAGACTTCCCACCCGCCCAAACAAGCCCATGACTTTTTAAAATATCAAGTTTTACTACTATTGTCCCTACAGCCCCCCAAATCTGAAGCCTGAAACCTTAAAACCTAATGCCTGAAACCCCTGAGGCCTGACACCCCTAAGGCCTGAAACCCTAAAGCCGGTTTAGGGTTTAGGGTTTAGGGTTTAGGGTTTAACCCTTACCCACGAAGAAACGAGCAGACTTGCTTACGCAGATCATGAAGGTTTATTTTAAGTACTATTGGATAGAGAGGGTTTAGGGCGTTGAGGGCTTTGCTGGAACCCTGTACCATCAAGCCCTCTTTGGGCTCCAATGATCTGGTTATACAGGCGCTTCACGGATGTTGTTGCAGGGTGTCTTTGCGGATGAAGTGGTTCATGACGTTCATGGGTGATATATAATGTAAAGTATAGGTGTTTGGACCGAACAGGAAATTATGTAATTGAATTGCCAATGTCAACAGAGTACAAGGTTGCGCGGCCGGAGTTTGCGTTATGATTATTGGGATGTATCTGTCAAGCCGTCACCTGCTGCGTAGGTGTGTTGCACTTTACAAGTTAGTTCTGCGAGGACAGGTTCGGATGTTCGTAGGGGAAGGATCGGTGGCTGGCGCCGTTTCAGCGGTTGTGGCTATTGGGGGTAATACGATACACAAAGCCTCCGTTCGGTTTTTGTTTGTCAGGTCCGGTGTTCACTGTGTTCACCCAGCTTGAGAGGCCCTGCTTGCACTTGCACCTTCTGACTGCCTCGTTTTGATGCTGTGGGGTTGCTTAAAAATCTCGGGAAGGTACCAGAGGTGTTAGGCCGCGACTCCTCTTCGCAACCGCTGAGCGTGGCTTTGTTCCCAACACTAAATCCAACCCCTGACCCCTAAACCCTACCCTAAACCCTAAAAGCATGGACCCTAAACCCTAAAACCTAAAAGCATCCCCAAACCCTAAACCCTAAAAGCATTGACCCTAAACCCTAAAGCATCGCCATCCAAGCCACGTGTGGCAGAGGTGACCATCTTCACTCCCTCAGTCCGCCATGGCTGGAGGCAGTACACAGAGGGTACAGAGTGGTCTTCCGTTTGAAAGAGATTTTAAAGAGGTACGTGCACCCTTCAGAACTATAAATCTATAAGCTTTATCCCGCAGTTCAACCAGGGTTTTAGGTGCTAAGGTTCTGTGATTGGGGTTTAGGGATAGTCTAGGTTCCCACATAGTGTACTGGCTATTCAAAAATGTCCAGTGAGTTAGCTGCTATCTATGTAGTACACACGTATATGTATATTCTATTGTATCCCAAAGCGTTATTCTAATTGGCCCCTATGTTGCCTTGTGGCGTCCTGGAACCTCTCAAAGCAAAGTCCCTCAGTCCCTCAGGTTTAGACTAAAGTCTGCTTGGGTCTGGAAGCTTCTATGTCAGGATTTATGACTCTGATCATCCTTGCCTTTGCTGCTATGCTACATTCCTACAGTCATTGATATTACCCTAACCCTCAACCTAAACCCTAACCTATAAGTTATATTGAGGGTGCTTGAGCTTTCCATCAGGCCGCTATTCGCCGACTTACAGACGAAGTCCTGGCGGTTCTCAACAAAGCCTCATGCTTGGACTAGGGTTTGATAGGGTTTAGGGTTTAGGGTTTAGGGTTTAGGGTTTAGGGTTTAGGGTTTGGATAGGGTTGAAATCCATACCAGAATTAGCGTCGGGATGTGGGGCTTATAGAGCTTGAGTTTGTGTTAATGAAGGTGCAGGGCTGAACCATGATTGCACGTCTGATCTTATGATGAAGCATCGGGTTCCTGTTTGGCACAATTATAGGCGTATTGGGACTGTCAGGGTTCTGCGAACGTCCTCGACCCAGCTTCGGGTGTATATAGACAGTATAGGGTTTGTGGGTAAAGTGCGTTTCAATGACAGTTTTTTTGGGATGATTGGGTTTCTGTGCTTGTAAAGCTGGCAACTGTTTGGGGAGCAACTGACCCTTGTAAGTAGGGGGACTACACCCACACCCTGTGAACCCCCATATGGTATATGAACCTTAAGCCCTTTTCGGGTTCTTTTTGTCTCCGAAATAAAAAGCCCCGAAAGCGTTCAGGGCCGCTTGTCGCGTCAATTATCGACCATAGCCTGCTTATTGCTGTGATCCCGAGCTTGGAAAGTGATAGTCGTGTAATATGAACTTCAGAAACCGTCTCCTTCCAATCTCTGTGAAATTCCGGCTGTGTTTAGGCCCAAAGTACTTGTGGCAACAGTCGCTGACAGAAAGCTTCTATGTGTCCTGTGTAATGTAAACCCGTGACCCCACGTGCAGACTCTGGTGCAAAACCTTACGTCCAAGACCTCAGTGATACTCCCGCCACTTTACAGGGCATGGTCTTTGCGGCCGCGACACCCGACCGATGAGTTTTTTGGGAACCATGCTTAAACAGTCTGACATGGCTTATCGGGAGAGAGTCGCTATGTATGTGCGTGGATGTTCCCCATACCGTAGTTCTCAGACCTTGCACCGCGTCCCAGAAGACATGTCAGTAACAAGGCACTCCCTAAGGCTCCATGTACCTGTATAGTATCTACTTGGGCCCTCAAGTACCTACATGGGGACCCCTTTAAAAGGCCTAGTTAAGTATATACTAGATGGGTGCATGCAGCCTTAGGGACTCGCAAGCCCTCTGAGGCAGGCCTTTGCTTCCATGTGAAACCCATGTCCTCGCGCATGAGTCGTTCAAACGTGAAAGATGTAAAGCTGAACATCTTAAGCTCATAAGACACATATACACGCTATGCCCAAACCAGTCCCAAACCCTAAAGCCCTAAACCCTGACATGTGGGCTCTGTAGAAACCCAAAGGGTCCAAGTTATAGTATAGTATATACTTTGGGGGCCCAAATACCTACAAAGTAGCTACCATAATTGCTACTTGGACCCTTTGGGAAAGGCTTAAAATGATCGAACCCAGGGCTCCGACCTCGCTGTCCTGCGCCTCACTTCGCTGGGTGCAGCGACGCTGACGCTGTGGCTTGGGCTGGGCGAGGTAACTGTTGAAGTGGTTCGTAAGTTACCCTATGCTTCCAGGGATCTTATAGTTAGGGCCCTAGGCCCCTTAAGGACCCAAAAATAAGGTCCCTGGAAGCCTAGGGTTACATGCTTAACAATTTAACACCAATCTCCGTGTCCTTACATGAATGTGGCTCCTGGTACGCATGGTAATTAGTCGTCACCAACATCATTCATTCATTAGGGTTTGCTGCCGTGCAGCATTTTTTGTAGTTCCGGATATAGTTGGTTTCATCCTTGTCAAACACCAGCAATAGTGTTTGGGGTTTGGCGTTCGATAAGGGTTTGACTCCCTTTAGCGTCCAAAGCATCGGAGCATGTTGTGCTAGGTTGGGGCTTAGCCTGAGGGTTCGTTGGTTTAGTATGATTTGTTTTTTTGCACTTGGGTTTTCTATGCCTACACTCGAAACCTTCAGCCCTAAACCCTAAACACACCCTCCAAACTCGGAGCCATGAACCTTAAGGCCTTGTGACAGAAATCACATTTCCCAGCTGCACCTGGCATATGATGCGGACCCGCGAGCTAGGGTTCAGGGTTCAGCGCTCCCCCTTGTCCATGCATATCTGAGTCTGCATGAAGAAGTGGTTGTGTTTAGATGGAGCTCCTTGAAACATTGAAACACTTCAGGATTCGTCTTGAGATCCTGCTAGCCAGCCGGGCCATAGCCATTCCAAAGTTCATGACTCCTGCAGACCCTGGCTTCGAGACCTGAGCGTGGAATGAAAACCACACTAAGACCTAAACCCTGAATACCTAAGCCCAACCCCCCAAAAAACAGGAGCTATAGTGAAGACTACACTGAAACCCAAACCTTAAACCCCTAAGCCCAACCCCCAAACAGGAGATATGATGAAGACTGTAGATAGATCTCCGCTCGACGAATTCCTGAGGCTGACTGAGCTCGGCCTGGGTGTAGAGAGCAGCGCAGAGGCTTCCGAGGCCATGGGGTTCAGGATTTAGGGTTTAGGGTTTAGGGTTTAGGATTTAGGTTTTAGGCTTTAGGGTTTAGGATTTAGGGTTTACGGGTTTTAAGGTTCAGGGGTGTAGGGTTTAGGGTTTAGGGGTTCATCGGGTGGTAGCTGGGGTTTTCTGCAGCTTCACAGGATGGTTTTTAGGGCGATCCCTCATCGACCAATGTCAGGAACATTAGTTTGGGGACTCTAGTGTTTAGGGCATAGAACATCAGAACACCGTTTTGCAACGGTAGTGCCGCTCGATGTAAGCACGAGCATTGTGGACATCGACTGCCACTGCAATCATTGCAGCATGTCTAGCTTAGGGCTTCGTCGCACTTCGACCTCACTGAGCCGCTATCGGTTGACAATCTACCTGTAGTCTCCATCGTAGTTCCTTGCTTTGGTTTAACCAAGTCTACATTAAGGATTCTATAAGGTATCCCCAAACATGGAACTACAATGGAGACTACAGGTAGACTTTAGGTGGCAGTTCTTGATAGTGACAGTGTTTGCAACAAATTCGCTTATGGCCTTAAGGAGGTATCTTCTCATGAGTATTTTGGCAGACCTTGGGCCATAAACAGATTTTGCCATCATTGAGGAGCTTCGATGGTTACGGTTCTCACCAGGCATCTTCGCTTTTGGGATGGTCTAACCCACAAGCCCCACCCCGAACGTAAACATAATGAAGCCCAACACCCTTTGAAGACACGACAGACAAGTCTTAGAAGAAACCCTGCACCCTGTTCCAGTACGCCCTCGACCCATAAAAATATCATTAGTGTATTTCTGTACATATCAGGTTTATACTATACGTTTATGTATCCATGCATAAAAGTCTGTACACGCACATGCACATGTATAGATAGACAGAAGGTAGATAAAGGGAAAGAGAGAGGGATAACACAGTGCTAGTATATGGCACAGAGTTCTTTTGGAACCCTAAGATGAACTCGGTAACAACCAGCAATTATTCAGGTAAGCCGAACATGAACGCGGAGCCCTAAAGCCCCAAATCCTAATAGACCCCTGACGAGGTCGTCACGGAGAGGTCGGCTGGGCAGGTTCTGTGCTCGGCCGGTGTCTCAGCGGCGGCTCTGGCCGAAACAGAAACAGAACGGCTGAGGGTTTAGGGTATATAGGGCTTAAGGCCGCAAAACCGTAAACCGTAAATCCTGGACCCTTCTTGTTGAGGGCAGGGCTTTGGGGTTCTGAGGTGTAGCCTCAGGCTTTGAGACAAGGGTTTGGATTTGGGGTTTACGCTTCAGAGTGATAGTTTAGATCAAGCCTCAACCCTTAAACGCCCCTTGCCTGGTTCGTGTGACTCGCAAACTATGCAGATGTCGTTTCAAGGTCTGAGGTTGCCACAGGAGAGTGGAAGTATGATTCCCAAAAGCCTTAACCCTAAACCCTAGGCAGCTCATTGTGTCACGCCGACTTCTGCACCTGTGAACCCTCGCCTGGCTTGTCCGAGTTGTGAGAGTGTAAACCCTAAACCCTATTCGGCTACACTTCGAACCCTAAACCCTAAACCCTAAACCCTAAACCCTAAACCCTAACTTACACTATCTCCTGCTCTTGCGGTTTGTGCTTCTGCCGGCCTTCGGTTCTCGTCTTGCTGCCGCGACCTAGATTTAGGGCCTAGGTGGGCATGGTGCCACTCCGTACCTCTGGGGTTTGGGATATCGTTTTTGGCATTATTATTTTCATTGTCATGCGTATTATTCATACACACCCAAAAAAGAGTTCGACTTGCATACTCAGTGCGAGAACATTAAACTCTTTGGCCGCACATATTGGGTTTATTTGAGGAAGCTTGAACTGTTTTGGGCCCGGTCAATATTGAAGTAGACGTTATAAAGCACGTAGAAGACAGACTATATATCGAATACATTCGGTCTGAGTCAGCTTGGAAATGCCGAAACGCCAGGCTCGCTGTAATGAGCGAATATGGAAGAATAGTAGACATGTTGTGTAAGGTTCTTGATATCCCTCCATCTTGCGCTGACTCACAGCAATGAGAAGTGCGATTTCAGAAATGGAGAACTGTTCAGACTTTCGCAGCGCTTGGATCCATTTTTGTTTTGTCGCCGCGATGGTGTCAATCGCAACCTTCACCCGATACCGCTGCCAGTGCTCGCCCTCGCGTTGGCGAGTTTCCATTGCCAGGGTTGAGGCGCTGAGTGTCCGATTTTATGCATGGATCCCAAAGGGTCCAAGTTATAGTATAGTATATATACTTTTGGGGCCCAAATACCTACAAAGTAGCAACTATATTACTACTTGGACCCTTTGGGGATTCCTTCCTGTGTAGCAGTGTGGAAGCTGCTATGCCATTGCACCCCTGCAGTCGCTAAATTACGGTCATCCGGCAAGCTCAGGCCTTCAGCAAATTACGAAAACAAGGGGTACCTTATTTTGGGGGTCCTTATAAGATGGACCCTACTATTTAGGGTACTATACTAGGGTCCCCTATTTTCGGAAACCCCCAATTGAAGGAAGCAGCCGGGCGCCTCACTTTGCTCTCGTCGATGGGATCGCCAGCAAGTTTTGCTGACATGGTCGTATTTTGTAGTTTGTTGCACAGCGCTTCCAAGTCTATCTCAGTAGCAGTCTTCAATATACCCTTTAATTGAGGAATATATTTTGAATCATAATATTAAGGCCCCTATAAAGTATATTCCTTAATTGAGAGTATCAGTCTTGAGCACCTACCAACTGACGACTGTCCAAGTTCTGTAAACAACAGGAATGCACGCACAGGCCCTAAGCTGTTGGCAAGACCAGCATTGGACTGCCGCGAAGCTTGCGATCCTATGGAACTCTGTAGCACTGAGGGCCTTAACCACACCCAGGACCAACTGAACCTCCAAGCTCAGTTTCAATCCCTGACAAGATGAGCCTCCAAAGCCGACCTTGCCGCGAGCATTCCAGGATGGTTCGAGTGAGAGTGTCAATCCCCACAAAGTTCTGAGACATGATCCCTTTCAGGGTGTTGTTGGCCTTTATCAGTTGTGAGACCCTAATGTGGCAACTCTGACATCTTAAGGCCATTCCCCCAAGATCCTACGTCCAAGTGCCTAGTAGTCATATACTCTCCGAAACATGAACCAGCTCACCATTATCCTAAAGCCAAGTCCCTTATGATGGTGTCCTTTGAACCCTGAGGAGAATAGCCTTCTGCCTCAGTCCCAACACCTCCTCAGGTCAGCTACGATATTCGCATCCCTGGGGACCACGATTTGTACGAGCCGGGCCAGGTTCATGCCAGCGGCAGTCGTCCAGATCCCGACGGACGGTACGGTGTAGGGTTTAGGGTGTACCGGTTTAGGGTTTGAGGTTAATCAGAATCTACGCTGATTTGGTGTCTTTTGCAGGGACGTCTTCATTATTATCAAAAAAATATAGAGACCCTTGAACATGTACCAATACTATTCCCGCGGGTCCTGGTTGTATTGAATTGTTGTAATGTAGAGGCCTAAATGATTACCTTTACTATTTTGGGGTTCCTTATCATAATTATAGCATACTGGGCCCCAAAACACTATTCTAAATTATTCAGGTCCCTAGATGAATTCTACCAAAACGTACCGCCTTCCAACGGCTAAGGCCCTTACATTGACCGCGGCGCAAACAGCAGGTGTGCCATGAGTATTTTGGAGTTGGGAGGCCGCCAGAGCCGGAGCTACCTTCGGCCTGAGGTAGAAGCCTAAATAATTGCCACTATTATTTTTGGGGTTTCCTGATTATAAATCCACTATCAAGGAGCCCAAAACTCTATTCTAATTATTATAAGGCCCTTTTTTGGCGCTCTCAAGTCTAGGGTTCAGGCCAAACTGGGGCTAAAACTAGGCCCATCGCACAATATTTGAACCGGCTGGCCCTTCCTGTGGTCCAGTGCACGAAGTCATCGGCCAGACAGGAGTTTGAAAGTTTCGGAGTCTAGGGATCAGGGGTTTTTGGGTTGATTTAGGATTTAGCGGATTAAGCAGTCTTGTTGGCTTGAAGGATAGGATGGGGATGATGTAGTGGAGCATGAAATAAGGGAGGTTGCCTTGGGAGGATCTGGGGGATTTTGCTTAGTTCTGCCATGCGCGGATTTCGCTACCCTGGACGGTTAAACAACTTCCACTGTAAATCCTTACGCGCCCTCAGTATACTTTAATTCGCCACGAAACCTTAACCTAATTTCTAAGGCCCCTACATTAGCACGCTCATTCTCCTGTGCCCGCGATTCGGCAGCTACAAGAAACCCCAACTTAAACCCATTCTAGGGTTGATCAACCCGGAACCCTAAACCCTAAACCCTACACCCTAAACCCTAAACCCTAAACCCTGAAACCCTGTTGATCAACCCGGAACCCTACAAGCCACGTTGTGGAGGACTTGGCTTGCTCCGGGCCGTTTCTCTGCGTTTCCCTCGTGATCGGGATGCAGAATATCTTGCTCTGCTGCTGGGGCTGCCAGTTAGAGCCCATGCTATTCAGAGTTCAGAGTTTATCGGGCCCCTGTAAAGGCCTTTGCAGGGCCAGTACTATAAAGGGTTCCTTTGCAGGGCCAGTACTATAAGTGTTACCATATTGGGTTCCTTTGAAAGATTAGGGTCATGTAGTTCGGGCAGCGGTAACAGTGAGTGCATGAAGGATCACTGAACTCGCTTGGTGAGTAGCTCATATGCAAGTTTGTGCATGTGTAAAAGCTGTACTAATGTACAGTACAAGGTTACCCTAACGCCAGGTACCTACTAAAAAGATATCCAAACAGGGTACTAGAGCCCCTGGGGGCCCCATATAGTAGGTATGTGGGGGTTAGGGTTAGGTACTTCGACAGATGGTTGCCGTTTTGTATCCCTACTCACCACTTACCGAGCCTGAGCCCTTGGTTCGGATGGTGCTACCGAGAGACCTCAAGGTGCTCCTGAACCTTTGTAGGGTTTAGGGGTTTAGGGTTTAGGGTATAGCTCCTGAACTTTTTTAGGGTTTAGGGGGTCTGCAGGCAGTCCTTGTGTGGATACGGTTCGATCATGCTTCATGGAGACAGATCCCCTAAACCTTAAATACCCCAAACTCCGGAACCAAAACCTGACAAGGACTTCCGTCGTTGCTGCGCTACGCCGTTCTGCGGCTGCCACCGCATCGGGAGCTGAAGGCACTGTGAGGCAGCCTCTCCCGGGGAGGACTTTGGGGTTTAGGGTCTCAGGCCCAAGCACACTCGGAGTTGGAGTGAGCCATCCGGATTCTGCAGGAAGATACGTCTGAGTCCACAATCTACCTGCCCGTGTGTTCCTGAATACTTTTGTTGAATACCAGCCTTCGTACCAGAATGCATAATCACATGTCCGCTGGCTTGCCTAGAAAATTAAGCCACTTGAGCACTCGGATATAGTTAAACCCTAAACCCTCACACATCAGTGGGTCGTAGTTTCATAGTGTTACCATGGTTTCGGTTGTTTGTGATTGTTCAGTCATGATTGGCTCTGATTGCTGCTAACACTATATTTCGGAATACCCTATCGCTAGCCTGGCCTAAACCCCTCAGCCGTACACCCCAACAGTTTGCGATAACCCTAAACCTTAAACCCTAAACCCTAAACCTTAAACCCTAAACCCTATAAGCCCTGAACCTTAAACCCTAAACCCTAAACCCTGTCTTCAAAGAGCCGGCTCTCAGTCTCCATCCGATCCGCAATCCGAGATGAAGCCCCAGGTCTCTGCAGCCTTGCAGCTCCTACACAGCTGTTAGGGCTCAGGCTCTACATCCCTGAAGCCCTTGGGGCTTAGTGGGGTAACAAGAAGCAAGCTTAATATAGGGGCCTTAATTATTAGAATAGGGTGTTGGGGCCCGTTATACTATCATCAGAAGAAGGAACCCCCGAAATAGTATTGGTACTTATTTAGGCCCCCTACATTACATGGCCAGCATCACCCTCCCCACATCTCCCAAGCCAAACCCGAAGTGTCCAAAGTACCTACATGGTAGAATGTAGGGTTTCTATAGTAGGAATTGTCATTATGATTTGTGAAAGTATCCCCCATAACAGTACCTAGGACCCTGGGTGCAACCCTAAACCCTTAAGCCTAAAGCCCTAAACTCTAAGCCCTAAACCCTTAGGCCCTGAACCCTAAACCCTTTGGGAAAGAGGCTGCATGCATCGCAAGCTCCCTGCCTAAGCTGCCTTGGCGTCTTGGCTCCTTGGCTCCTTCTCGAGTTTTGGGGAGTTGATCGGGTTCTCCGGCCCCGGGCCATACCTATAGTCTCCGTTGTAGTTCCTTTTTGGGGATACCTTATAGAATCCGTATAATATCTAATTGGTTAAAGCAAAAAACGGGAACTACGATGGAGACTATAGGTAGGACTTCAGGGCTTTGGGCTTTCGGCGTTTTGGGTGCGGGGTGTAGGATTCCGGCTCTTGTGGTTCAGCCTTGGGTCAAGCCCTAAACTCCCGAGGTTTCGGTACCAGGACCCTAAAGAACTTACAAGACACCTTGCCCCACTACTCTATGGAACCATTTCGCCAACTCGGCGCCCAAAATCCAAGCCAAAATATCCCGAAACCATATTCCCGAAATCCCAAGCCCAAAATCCAAGCCAAAAAATCCCGAAACCATATTCCCGAGATCCCAAGCCCAAATCCCAAGCCAAAAAAGATAGAAATGCCCGAAGTTGTGAA